GGGGGGGGATTTCTCACTTTCTGTCTCTATGTCTCTATCTGTCTGGTGAGCGCACGCGCCCTACAGAGAAAAAATCTCAAAAAAAAAAAAAAAAGGAAAAAAAATACATAAATTCTTGTTATAGAAATGTCTGTGATATTCAGACCAAGTATTTCTTTCTACATCTTCATTGGCATCAAAGTCATTTTAGTCATTGTGAAGACCAAAGAGTAATCCTATAAATTAAAGAAAAAAAGGAAAAAAGAAAAACTAAAAATAAACTTTTAAATTCACATTTTTTTCTAGAGAGATTTTTGCTATAGGGTGTGTGTGCTCACCTGAGAGACAGAGTAACAGAAAGTGAGAAATCACCTCCTCTCCCTTCCCCCTAGGGGAGATGGCTACACTGCAATCCATTCTCCTCTCAGGATTTTGAGCAAGCACACACACGCTCCTGGATTAAGTTTTAAGTTACCAGATCTGGGACTCAAACCATGGTCAACTATGTACAAGTCCAGGGATGTAACCATTACACCATCTACTGGTCACAAATTCACAGTATTGAATATTTATTAACATGGAAATGTGAGTTTCACCTCTTTGGTTTAATTGTATTTTTAGTCATGACTCCCCAAATGGTTGAATAAATGCACAGACTGAATGTAGTTGATCCTGAACAAAGGAGAAATATGACTGCTGAAAACTTAGCAAATTTGATAAAAATGGGTGGTTGGCTTAGTAAAAAGTGATGGGAGATGTAGTGGGTAATTTTTATGATCAGTTCTCAATGTTTAAAAGTGATCTCTCTCCCTGTCTTCCTCTTGCCCCCTCCTTGCACCTCTCCCACCATTTCCCCACCCACCACCTCTGTTTATACAGTATATTATTTCCGGATCAGTCCTCGCAGCAGCAAAGAAAGACTCCAGGAAGAGTTTGGCAAGTAACCGTATGTCCTTTCCCACACATCAGAGGGATACCCATTGTTTGAGTTGAAAGCAAAGACCCTTAAAGAGCCTTGGATTCACAGACTCTCAACCCTAAAATCCAAAGGACCCACCACAATGCTGTTGTGATTTTATTTATGAAAAACTTGGTAGTGAGATAAACCTGAAGTATGTCCTTGAAACAGAGCTAATGGCAGATCTGTGAAGACCATACTTACAATCGCATAAATGTCCAATGTTGTGCAACAACAAAAGACTTTTGTGGAAGCCATATCATTTCTCCTAGACCACCATGTAGGAAAATTATCTAACTAAGTTAGAACCTTAAGTTGTAACCTTGAGCAAGTCGGTTTACCGTTCTCAGTTTTTCACCTGTAAAATGGAGGCAATATTCATGCTACCGTATGAAATCAGCACGAAGGTTAAATAGAGACCATAAAACCTGCATTGTGGTCCTGTTCACGTGACCCCTAGGTTACCCAACAGAGTTTCCAATTCTATGTGGGTAAAAAAGAACTTACCAGCAGGTTTCTTCCCAAGAAAATCCTCCCCCAACACTTTTTCTTATTTATTAAGCTGAGTCACTTTCAGTCAGTGAAGAACTGAATAGATTGGGATGATTCCTCTCTAAAAATGGTCTAACAGGGACCAGCAGTTGGCATAATGGCTAGGTCGCTAGACTTCCACGTAATTTACTGCAGTTCGAGTCCCAGACCTGGTGGCTTAAACTCATGCTGGGCACATGTGTGTGCATGCCCAAGATCCTGAGAGGAGAATGGAGGAGAAGGGATTGTGGTGTGGCCACCCATGGGGGAGTTGATTTCTCTCTTTCTGTCTCTCTGTCTCTCTGTGTCTTTCTGGCTAGCGCATGCTCCTTATAGCAAAAACCCCTCCAAAAAAAGAAAAGGAAAAGAAAAGAAAAGAAAGAAATGGTCTAACAACTTAGTTTGGGTAGAAAACAATCATTTATGAAGATCAAATTTTTGTAATTTCCAAATACAGTCAGATTACTGACTTCTGTCTATGGGTCATATAGACAGGGATGAAATATGCATGTCATAAAATAATAATTGATAATTCCTTCCTAGTGTGGTACCTGTTACATAGATAAGAGGTGTTCAGAAAGCTCATGGAAAATGCATATTATGAAAAACCATCCATAGATTTTTGTTCCAAAATAAACTCATATTTTAAGTTCATTTTTCCATGTACTTTTCCAAGTTCCCTTGTATTTTCCTATTTCAATGTTTTATCATCCCTACAATGTAGAGTAGTCATATGAACTTTTTCTTACCTATGCTACCCAGAGATATCAACCCTAGTTATGTTTGGAAGATAGCTTTTTAGGGTTGACTACATTTTCTGTCAAAAGGATTAGATATTGTTACTGGTGTTGTGGCTGTGTTTTATTTCTATTTGATGGGAAATACATAGAAGTTTCTGTCTGTAACTTCCCAGCCTATACCCATAATACCACCCATAAGTGTGGTACAGGAGTCTCCTTCTCTTTCTTCCCTTTATTTTCTTATGCAGACAGATGATAATCGTTGATTATTCTGTAGAAAATTCTGTAAATCTTACTCATCTTCCTTGATTCAACAAGTATTTATTGAATGACTACTGGGATGGTGGCCATGACAATAAAGGAAATACAGAACATAAGATATACAACTAAGGGAGGGGCCAGCCAGTGGCATAGTGATTAAGGTGGCCTGATCCCACATGGCTAACTACATGGTTCAAGTCCTGAACCCAGCAGCATTTGTTCCCAAAGTCCCAAGAGAAGAATGGAGGAGAAGAGATTCTGCTTTCTCACACTTTCTCTCACTTTCTTTGCTCTCTTTCAGGCAAGAACACACACCTTATAGCAATAAATAAAATAGAAATAAAACAAAACTAAAAAAAAAGTTTGTGGAAAAAAATTAAAGTATGAGTTTATATAGGTAGATAGATATAAGAACTAAGGTTTACCCCTAGAATTTTGGAATGATAAGCAAAATGAATGGTTATCACATAAAATAAAATGGGAAGACTGAGAAAGGAATGGGATAGAGAGCTGAAGATTTTATTTTATAGTGATGCAGAGGCTAAAAGCAACTGAGAGAAGAACTTCAGTATGATTTAGTTATAGTACTTTTGTGAGGCAAGGAAACAGAATCCGTAATTCCTTCCTCACTTATGTTCTACAAATGGAAATCAAACCCAATTAATAAACCTTCATGTCTCTATTTCAGGTCACAGCAAAAATAGTAATGAACTCATTGAGCCTCTTCACTTCCATTTCTGGAATGATTCTTCTGGTCATGGACATATTTAATATTAAAGCTATCCATTTTTTGAAAATGGAGAGTCTAAATCTTATTAAAGGTTATACGTCACTTATTAACATATACAACTGTGAAGCAGCTGACAAAAATTCTGAATCTATACACTACTGTTACAGCATGCAATCGGCGTTATTGGTAAGTGGACAGTTTCTTTCCAAGGAGGAATTATAGCATTTTTATTATGAGCATCAACTCTGGGTCCAGACTGCCTGAGTCTGTTACTTTATTTTTAAGTTTATTTATTCACTTCTTCCAAGAGTGAAAGAGAGAGAAAGGCAGCCCCAGGCAAAATTTTTTAAAATAATTATTTATTTTATTTTACTTGTTATTATTATTGTTTAACTTGACCAGAGAGAGCCAGAAAGAGAGAGAAAGGGAAAGTGAGAAAGCAAGCCACCAGGTTCGGGACTCGAACCATGTTCGGCCATCTGGGAGTCCATCACCTTAACCACTGTGCCACCTGCAGGCACCTCCCAGCAAGATTTTGATGCCACAATGGACCCTCGGCCTCAGCCAGCCTGTTATAATGGGTGCACGCACACATGTGCACACACATACACACATACTACATACTTGGGTAGATCTCCAGAATTGAACCTGGAACCTTCCCATGTGTGTCAGCCTCACAGGACGTTGTGTTACCACTGCACCACTGTCTGGCCTTCTGAGTCTGCTATTTATTGCCTATGTGGCTTTGAACAAGAATTTTAACCAAATTCTCCCTCAATTTCAACTGTAAAATTGGGATGGTAACACTGCTTATCTCAAAGTTGTTCTGAGGAATAAATGAGTTAATATATGCAAAGCACTTAAAGCAGTGCTGGGCACACATAATGTGTTATGTAAGTGTTTGCTTTAACACTAACTATTGCTAACAACTTTAATAGTATTAATATTCATCATTATTATTAAGTAAAATGAACATGGAAAAAACACCTAAAATGTTATGACCATCTCTTGCCTGCAGGAAATTTTACTATAGAGTTCAAAGGAAAAAAAAAAAATACATCTGACAAGTGTAAAGAGGTTTCCTTGGTATGATGCTATACCACCTAATGTTGGGTATAATTTAATTTAGGATTCAGTATGTATTCTTTCTTACATTTCATTGATTCTTCAATGGAATGTTTTTGCTTTATTGTTTTAATTTCCAGTAGGTGCATGCATTTGCAAGAGAGAGAGAGAGAGAACACATCTCCCAATAGAGAATGATCATACTACATTCCATTCTCCTCCATTTCTCTATCCTGTCTAAATGTTGGTCATGCATACACACACGTACGCGCATCTTTTAAGCTACTGGGACCAGGATTCAAACCATGATCAGCCGTGTGTGATCCAGCTCTGTTAACCAGTAAGCTTATAAGGTGGACCATATGTCTGCCTTACTTTCCACCAGCAACATTCCTTAACCATCGGTTGTATGTCAGAATTGTGGTGTTAGGGCTAAGAAGAAACCACTCCTATACTAGCAATTTGCTCAGCCAGTCATTACTTATCCAAATAATTGATCTTTTAATCACCTAATTTTAGTCAACAGTCATTTACTGAGCACCAACCATATTTGTTGTGCCATTATTACATTTTCACCTTCATTCTTCTGTTGTTTTTCAGGGCCTTTTGTCGGTGATGTTGATTTTTACCTTCTTCCAGGAACTTGTGACATCTGGCATTGTAGAAACTGAATGGAAAAGGATGTGCTCTGGGCCCAAAGCTGTAAGTAGTTGCCCTTCTGTCCATAATCTCCACTGAGAAAATGCACATCTACAGAGAATCATTTATGGAGAATGTAATCTGATGAGATTTTGAAAGTAGGAACTTTACAAAACAAAGAAAGAGACAGAGAGACAGAGAGAGAGAGAGAGAAGAGAAAGAAGAAAGGAAAAAAGAAAAGAAGAAAGAAAGAGAAAGGAGACCAGCAGGTGGTGTGGTGGTTAAAGTGCTAGACACTCCCACATGGCTGACCAGGAATAATTCCCAGACCCCTGGCAGCTTGCTTTCTCGCTCTCTCTCTCCCTCTCTTTCTGTGTCTCTCTGGTTAATTTAAAATAAAAAGAATGAATAGATAAAATTAAATAAAAATAATTCTTTAAAAAAAAGAGAAAGAATAAAGTAAGAAATAAAAGAAAGAAAGAAAAAGAAAGAAGGAAATAAAAAAGTTCTTGGCATATTTCAGAAAACATAAAAAAAATGAAGAAATCTGTCTGAAATGTGTAGTCTCTCGTTAGACATGGGATATGGTTTGGTATTATGTGTGCCTAATTATTGTTCTTTCATTCTGCTTGACTTCAGGCCTTGATTGTCTGATTCTATGCTTAATGTATAAAAGCTGAATGGCTGAAGGTTGAAGACTGATAAAAGTCATTCTTTTTTTTTTTTTTTTAACTACCTCTACCACCATCCCTCTTCAGCTCTTCCAAAACAATAGATTTGAAGAGGTTTCACCATTGGGAATTCGAACATCCCAGTGATAGACAGGTCTATTAACATCTGTTTCAGAACCATAGTCTATTAGAAATTAAATTTAGAAATTATCACTAATTTGTTTGTTTTGAAGATGAGGAATATAGGATCAAAGAGAGAAAATAACTGTCCCAGAATTATATTCACTAAAGGCAAATCAAAACTGGAAACTAAAATGTCCTGTTATTGCAGCTTTATTTTCCCAGGATCACATGATCATTCCAGGCAAAGTAGCAAATACCTGCTACTCTTGAGTATTCACTCACACTTGAGTTTTGTTTGTTTGGTTTTTTTTTTTTAAGAGGTTTTTGCCTTAGGGCACATGCGCTTGCCACAGAGACAGAGACAAACATTGAGAGGGAAAGTGAGAACTCACCCCCTGGGAAGATGGCCACACCACAATCCCTTCTCCTCCATTCTCCTCCCTGGATCTTGGACGTGCATGCACACGTGCCTGGCATGATTTTCAAGCTACTGGGTCCAGGACTTAAACCACTGTCTACCATGTGGGAATCTGACCACGAAACGACTACGCCATCTTTTGGCGCCACACGTGAGTTTTGATAAGTGATTTGTTAAGAATTTGAGCACCTGGGGCCAGCAGATGGCATAGCGGCTACATTGCTGGACTCCCACATGGCAGATGGCAATTTGAGTCCCGGACCCGATGGCTTCAAAATCACACCCAGTGTGTGTGCATGTGTGCCCATGATCCCAGGAGGAGAATGGAATGAAAGTGATTGCATCATGGCCATGCCCCCTGGTGGGTGATTTCTCACTTTCCCTCTCACTGTTTCTGTCTCTCTCTCTCTGGTGAGTGCGCATGCCCTATGACAAAGCCTCTAAAAAAGAAAAAAATTTGAGCACCTGGCAAATCAAGTCTAGTATTTGAAGGCGTATAGTACAAAAACATAAGTAACAAAAAACTAGGAAGTATTTGATAAATATGTGTAGAGATTACTGAAAAAAAATACCAATGATAAAAGTCAAGAAAAGTTTGTTTAATTTTGTGTTCTAGAATGTGGTTCTCTTGTCAGCCGATGGAAAAAAAGAACAGGAAACTGCTAACGAAGTGGTTCTAGTAACTGCAGTAACTTCCCAACCAAAGGATGAAGATATTGAAATTATTCCAGTTCAAGAAGAAGAAATGGAAGTAAACTTTCCAGAACCTCCCCAAGATTAAGAATCCTCACCAGCAAAAAATGACAGCTTTCCTGAAGCTAGTCCTTCTGTCTTCTCTTTCCTTGTTGTAAGCATTAGTGTTCACAGCTTCCAGAAGACACATTTTCCCCCATTCCTTGGGGATATTCTGTACATATTCTCCACACTCTCTTTTGATTTTTGCATGCAGTCAACACTGCTCCCCCTCTCTCACTTTCAGAGAACACAGCCATTGTAGCAGATGTTATTATTATGTTTTTTGTCTGGGGTGACTTTCTTTTACTGAAAAAAGGCAGAGTAAACATGGCAGCATGTGATTCCCCATTAGTCTTTTCCTTAGACGTTTTTTAGTACTGGCGTTAGGAGTTGTTAGGAATGATGACTTGGGTTAGGCAGACACAGATCAGGGAACTAGCCTGGAGCACTAAGAAATTTTGAGTGACTATAGACCATCTACATGAATCTTGTAAAATAAAAAAACAAGCCAAAACGAAAATTAACAAGCCAGAGGTGGTCTAAGAATACAGATATAAGATGAACAAAGGGTCTGAAACAGGATAAAAGGAGACCCCGGAGAAGAGACAAGACCAGCTTGCCTCCCTTGGTTCTGGCCCAGTCTGCCTATCTCTGTCTCAATAAAACTTGTGCTTAACTTATCTCCTTGTTCTTCGATTCTTTGCTGTGATAGGGAGACACAGACTTGAATTTTCTCAACTTAACAGTAGTAGTAATAGTTTTTTGTTTATTTTTCATTTCTTCTGTCAGCAACAGGGAGACTTTGTACCTGATGGAAAAGAGATATGACTATTCCATCCCTAAATTGTCTTTAATTCCTACCTCCCTTTTGCACCATTTTTTTTACTAAGAGATTTTGGCCATAGGGTGCATGTGCTTGACAGAGAGACAGAGAGAGAGAGATAGAAATCAGGAAATCACCCCCTCAGGGGTGATTGCCACGGCACAATCCCTTCTCCTCCATTCTCCTCTTGGGATTTTGGGCACATACACGTACATGCACACGTGCCCTCATAAATTTTAATCCACCAGTTCCAAAACTCAAACCGTGGTCAACTACATGGGAATCCAGCAATGTAACCATTATGCCATCTGCTGTCTCCTGTACCATTGTTTTAAGGAAAGTAAAATATAATAATAACAAGCAATCAGAGTCTCCACACCCCATAAGGGAAACTCTCAGTGGCCAATACCCAATCTTTTCTTCGTACATATAATAAATCTTACAGACAAGTAAGTTCCCATCTGTTTTAACATTTTTTTTAACTCTTGTTCTGGGTTCTCAGTTGTATTTGTTTACCTAGTTTTAGGCTTTAGCCAAGAGAAAAAAGAATAACTGTAGAAAATGCCATAATGAGGGGTCGGCAGGTGGTGTGGTGGTTAAGGGTACTAGATTCCCTCATGCCTAACTGCGATTTGAGTCCTGGACCTGGCAGATTTCTTTCTCACTTTTCCTCTATCTCTCTCTCACTCTGTACCTCTCTGGTCAAATTAAAATAAAGATAAATAAAATAATTCTAAAAAAAGAAAATGCCATAAGGAGTACCCAAATCTCAAATGAAAATCAGTACTTGTATTTATAGAATGATTTTGAAATGACAAAGAGTTTTATCAGATAATTTCATTTGATCTTCCACAATCAATAAAGAATTCCTATTCCTATTTCACTAGTGATTCAAAGAGGTAAAGTAACTTGTCAATAGGTAGTGGTAGCTTGTCAACAGTCACAGCTATTGAGACTACCTGTAGTGATGAGAGTCTTGTTTCATGTCCAGATCTTAGTCAAATTCTGAGATCTTTGAAATAACCAAATTATCTAGCCCATGTTTGCATAAACTACTAGAACCAAGTCAATAGGTTTTCATCAAAAACATGCGCTCAGAGACAGCAGGTGGCATGGTGGTTAAGGCACTGGATTCTCACATGGCCAACCACGGTTCGAGTCTAGGACCAGGTGGTTTTAAAATCATGACAAGTAAATAAATAATTAATATTAAAACAACAACAACAAAATGCATTCTGACTAGCACTAAAGAAGTATTGAGAAAATCATAAAAGAGTCAAAATCAGATTTTACTCCTTAAAGATTAAGACTTAGATAGGCGCCAGCAGGGAGTGTGGTGATAAAGGTGTTGGATTCCTACATTGCTGACCATGGTTCGAGTCTCAGACTCAGTGGCTTGAAAATCACACTGGGGGTGTGTGTGTATGTGTGTATGTCCAAAATCCAAGAAGAGAATAAAGGAGAAGGAATTACATGGCCATGACCCTCAGGGTTGATTTCTCACTCTTCCTCTCTCTGTCTTTCTTCAGTGAGTGCATGTATTCCATGGCAAAAAAAAACTTAAAAAAAAAAAAAGACTTGGATATTTACAACATTTGGAAGACTACTTCTATCATTAATAGATAATTAACTTATAGGCTGTATAATGCAGACATTAAGTGCTAACATAATCTCAGAAAGAGTATGCTTGAGGGGAACAGCAGGTGGCATAGTGGTTAAGGTGCTGGGCTCTCACTTGGCCAGCCATGGTTTCAGTCCAGGATCCAGCAGCCTAAAACTCATGCCAGGTGCATATGCATGTTTGCCTAAAATGCCAAGAAGAGAATAGAGGAGAAGGGATTGTGGCTTTGCCATCCCCCTGGTGGTGTGAGGGGGTGATTTCTCACTTTCTCTTTCTCTCTCTCTGACTCTGTCTCTCTAGCAACCACATATGCCCATAGCAAAATCTCTCTCTCTAAAAAAAGAAAGGTTATGCTTGATAACGACATAATTAAAATGCTAAATCTCAGGAAGTAGCCACACTAATTTTCAATTTCTGCTTATACTCCAAGATACTAATAATCAGGGAAGATGTCCCTATAATATGTCAACCACATTTAACAATTTGCTACATACTGAGTGCTACCAGATTATGACAGGTATATAGACAATGTAATTTCCATTCCCGATGATATTTCCACTTTGTTAGAGACAATCAATATAAGATATATTCGGTAATTACAAAAAAGAAAATTTAAATCAGAAACCCTCCATAAAAATACAAGATTGGGACCAGCAGTTGGAGTAATGGCTATGTCACTGGACTCCCATGTAGTCGACCATTGTTTTGAGTCCTGGACCCGGTGGCTTAAACTCATGCCGGCTGCGTGTGTGCACAAGATCCCAAGAGGAGAATGGAGAAGAAGGGATTGCAGCTTCATCCCCCCACTCGGGGGATGATTTCTTGCTTTCTGTCTCTCTGTCTCTCTCTTTCTCTCTGGCAAGCGCATGCGCCCTATAGCAAAAACCTCTCCAAAAATAAATACATAAATAAATAAATTAAATAAATAAATAAATGAAAATACAAGATCATATTTCTGTTATTTTCTTCAGTCATAAAATATATATAAACCCATAGTTTCCATAGAATTTTATTTTATTAATTTTATGATGTCAATTAGTTTTTACTGACTTCTGTTTTTTGCGTAAGTCCTCAGGATATGAAAAACCTTTGGCATCTACTATTAAAGAAGAATGAAAATTCGGACTAGCTTATGACATAACAGTTAACGTGGCTGGATCCCACATGGTCAGCTGCCTGGTTTGAGTCTAGCTCCAGCAACTTGAGAAATGCACCAGGTGCATGCGCATGTGTGTGGGTGCAAAATCATAAAAGAAGGGAGAAATGAAGATGGTATTTCAGGATGACCAATCCCCATAGTGGGGTGCTTTCTCTATTTCTCTCTGGAAAGCACACATATCCTCTGTAAGTTTTATTTTTTAAGTGAAAATTCATCTATGGCTTTATCCCTTTGGCAATATAGAATCTAATAGTAACCTTGATCGATAGCAAACATGCTTTGTCCTGAAGTAAAAGATACATTTTCTGGTCTTAAATTAATTTTCCTCTCAATTTTTATTTTTGTAAAAATAACTTAATAATCATAAATGAAATAAACTTTTAAAAATCAATTGCACAGGGCCAGCAGGTTGCATAGTGGTTACATTGCTGGACTTTCACATGACTAACTGCAGTTCGAGTCTTGGACCTAGTGGCTTGAAAATTACACTGGGCGTATGTGTGTATGTGTGTGTGTGTGTGTGTGTGTGTCCAAGATGCCAGGAGGAGAATGGTGGAGAAAGGATTACAACATAGCCACGTCCCCTAGTGGGTGATTTCTCACACTCTTTTCCACTGTCTCTGTCACTCTCTATCTCTGGTGAGTGCATGTGTCCTATGGCAAAAAACTGAAAAAAATTCAGTTGCACTCCTGACTAGGAGGCTGACATAGCCTCTTCATTTTTCCTTATTTTCTTATAGTCCATGTTCATAATAAGGTGACTGACCATTGCAGTATAGCCAGCTCTGAGGGATTTCATGGGATGCAGGATTTTCAATATTCTAACTAAAATAATGCCAGGTAAACAAATAGCAAATCAACCTCATTCACAGTAACAATAACTTTGCCCAGCAACAATCACTGCATAATTTGCTTATATTATTATTATTATTATTAATTTCACCAGAGAGAGATGGGAGGAAAGTGAGAATGCAAGCCACCAAGTCCACCACTCACTTCTTTACTTCTGACTTACTAAGAAAATTATCTTTAGCCTATAAGCATTTCACTGCAAGAGAGAAATAAAATCCTTTAAAAAGACATAATTAATTGTTGGAAGATCATCAATCCATTGATCCAAAAATATCTGTTGATCCCAGGAGTACAAAATGGTGAAGAAAAATAGGCAGTTAACTTCTCTTAGACCTTAAAATCTGGTTGGAGAAGGACCAGCAGATGATGGAATGGTTACATCGTTGGACTCCCACATAGTTGAGCATGGTTCGAGTCCTGGACCCAGTGGCTTAAAATACTAAGGTCAGGTGCATGTGTGTGTGCCCAAACTCCCAAGAAGAGAATAGAGGAGAAAGGATTGCAGTGTGACCATCCCTCCTGGGGGTTGATTCTCGCTTTCTGTCTCTCTGTCTTCCTCTGTCGCTCCAATGAGCACACTCATCCTATAGCAAAAATATCTCTTCAAAAAATTTTAAAAAGCTGATTGGAGAAATAAATAAATATTAGTAAAATATCCTTCAGGCACCAGCTATGAATGAGGTATACTATTAAGCATGGAGACATATATATATAAAGATAAGAAAAGTTCCCTGACTTCAAAAATATTAATAACTTAAAATGATAAAGACATATATGTTAAAAAATACCAACAGAAATCCAAGAAAATTCAGTGGGGAAAAAATAATCTTTCAACACAACTGGAAAGCCACATGTAAAAACAATATGAAAGTGAACACCTACCTCATACCATGTACAAAAAGTAACTCAAAATAAGTCATAGGC